CCCCCCCCCCCCGTCACTTCTCGGTCGCAGGTGCGGCGGGTGCAACACAGCCACAGCCTACGGTCCCGGACATGCGGGTGGACGTCCGACCGCGGGCAGAAAACCTGCCGCCGGAGGTCGGTGGGCAGAAAAGAGCCGCACCAACAGGTACATGGGGAAATGACCACGCTTTCCGGGGCCCGGGTGTCTGTGTGTGTGTGTGTGTGGCACCCACCCAATCAAGCCAGCCTGGCGAGGGGGCGCGCACGGCCAGGCCCACCTACACATCCCCGGCTGGCAGACCGGCGCACGCACACACGCGTGCGGGGGTGCCCGCACCTCGTGCGCCCAGGGGTTCGACAGGCTGCGGGCCCCTCGCGTATCCCGGGCTCCGGCTCCGCGCATTCACCCCCGCCCACCCGCGCCAAGCCCCACATGCACGCGCGCCAGGAGTGACACACTGGCAGGGGGAGGCGGGGACCCCAAGCAACGGGCCAGCATGTGTGTCTGCTGCACAAGGCTTGTCCGGCCCCCATCGAGGGACCCGCTCGCCTGAAAGACAAGGGTATATATGGAAAAATATAAATATCCGAAATAGAAAGAGATAACCCGACTTGCTTCAGGCCCTTCGCCTCCTGGCCCACCACCCAAGGGGAACCCTCTTGGCCGACCAGCGGCCAGCCGAGGGCCGGGATGCCCCTGCCTCTCCCCTGCGCAGAGTAGCCCCGGCACCACTGCCTGGTGTGGGTTTTTTGTCGGGCATACCCTGGCCCCCCGCCCCAGCAACCACAGGGCAGAGGGCACAGGTGGCGCGCTGCCAGCCGGGCGGGCATCCTGCGCCCCGCGTGTCCCTTTGCCCCACCGACGAACCTGAGGGACGCGGATGACCCTCCCCGATCGGCGAGTCCCGCGTGTCCGATCTTTTTGAATGGAATTCAACATATTTGCAGAATTCAAAACGACATTTCCACACCACACCGCTCATGGTCATCACGGACAGGAGCCCTCAGGTGCCCACGAGACCCTCCTCAGGCGGCCGGCTTGGAATATCCCGCCGCTGAGTATTTTTTCGTGTATCCCCCCAGGGCCGACGAAGGGAACCGGCCCATCGTTGGCTGGCCCGGCTGTGCACATTGCCCAGGAAGGATGGGGGTGCTAGCCCTCGCCAGGTGCATGCATCTGTGCTGTGTGTGGGTGTTGTGTGTGTGTGTGTGTGTGTCAGCGCTTTTGGGGGTGCTCCTTGGGCCCCTCTTTCTTCCCGGCCTCCCTGGCAATGGGGGTTCCAGGGGGCTGCCTGCTTGTCCCGGGGCCGGCTGCTTTTCGCTTTTCCGTCTCGCGTAACCTCGCGCATATGCCTCTCTTTTTTCCTGGTGCCCCCCCCCCCCGGGCCGACCCCGGCCCCGGCCCCGGCCCCCCAGAGGCGGCCCCTCTATTCCTTTCTCTTATTGCCGCCTCTCGCGACTTGTCTGCCATCTGTCCCCGCCGCAGACCGAGGCGTCAAGGGCCCAGGCATCAATCTGTCTTAGGCGACGTGCTGGGGCCGTGTCTTCCCCCCTCCCCCCCCCCCTGCTCGCCCCACGGGAGGGGGGGGGGCACCAGTTGAAACTTGTTCGCTTCGTTGTTCTCAGGGGCATCGGGCCCGGCGGGGAGCACCTTTCTATGGCGCATTATTCTCCCTCCCCCGGCGCGTGCGCGTTTTTTCTCGAAATATCGCTTCAGGCCATCTCGCGCCTATGCAACCAGGCTGATTCATGGGTCCGCGCTCGGACCCCGGACCAAGGGGCCTTTGTGCGCCTAGGCCCAGTATCGGCCCTTCGATGTTTGTGGCGCCCACCCCAGTTCGGCCCTGGCGCGCGAGGGGGAATGTTCGGGCGTGCACGTCGGTGGGGTGCCTGCGAGCCCGCCCCTCCCAGTCAGCCCACCTTTCTCTCCCCCCCCCCCCAGGGGCCTTGCTGGCAAGTGGCGAACACGGCAAGCATGCACAAGGCAGAATGCAACCCGTCAGCGGTCGATGGTGTGTGTGTGTGTGTGTGTGCGCGCGTGTACGACACACTCCCCCTGTCCAGTCCAGGGTCGGTAGCCTCCTCGCAAGAAGCCAGCCGGCGACCCGGGGCACGGTGACGGGGGGGGGGGGGGGGGGGGGGGGGGGGAGTGACGGTGGAGACGCCGCCCCCCAGGTTGCAGGTCATGAAGGTCTGCTTGAGGAGGTGGTTGTCC